ATGACGCATTTCAGATTCATGTTTGTTTCCACATTTATAGTGGATGAAATGAAAGATCAGGATGTTTCACAAGCATGTGCAAGCATAAGAACTAACATATTATTTAACTGACATCTAACATACTGTTGTGCTTATATACCAAAAGGATTATAAAATAAAACCAAAATACAAACATAAAATTCCAAAGAGCTATGTGTGGGTTGAAGACTGCTTTTGCCTTTTTTTTCCCCCCCTATTTTAGATGTAATACATTATCAAAAAGTTAACAATGCCTTTTTCTTGACCTATGAAAAAGAGCAAATAGTTGTTTGCAGCTGTTTTATTTATCTATTTTTTATTTTTAATTTCGTCACTTCGTATTTTCATCTACTATTTTAAATTTTTTATTCTTTTTTTCTTGCAAACTCCTATTTTAGGCAGTATGAATCTTTCTTTTACTTTTTAATTGTAATGCATATTCATTCAAGAAACAAGTTTCATTGTTTATATTTATCTCAAAATTTTTAATTTCTTGGCTTCTCTGAACCCTTAGAATACCAGTTGACATTTGAAAAGAACCTTTGCCAAGTAGGCATTTAAAACTATGGATTACAGAAGTGCTAAGGTGTCACTGCAATGAAGCCAGTTAGGTGCTTTCAAAAATCCTATGAAGCCATCATCTCTATCTTTAAATTCCAAATCAGTCATAATTAAAAATCTGCTCTTATCAGAATTAGACTCAAGCTAAGGAAGGCATAATATCTAAACACATTCACAATAAATATCTAGTATAAAAACTATATATATGAAATACTCATTTCACCTGTCCTCCACAAGTTCTGAGCTCAATCAGCTAGTCACAGTACCGTACACATCTTTTTACTGATAGTTTTAAGGCAACAGACCTTATGATATATATGACAAACACAAATTTTTAGTACTACAGGCACTTCATTCTTAAACTCTGTAACAAACCAAACACATAAAACTTGCTTTTGAGACTTCAAAACTTATTTTTTCAGACAGCTTGCCTACAGACTAGTTAATCAAAAGTGAAACTCTCAGACTATCTGATGAAGACAGGAAGTCTAATAACCAACAAACCACAAAATACTTGAGGAAACTGTTTTTCTCCTCATAGAAAAAGGTGTCTGGCGAGCAGGGGGAGGAAGGTAGGTGAGGGACATAAGAGTGTTAATCTTCAAGTAATTTTTCCTTCCTGGTATTCCATGAATGTATTCCCAACCAGAATTTGTACACGAAAGAGCTTGAGAGTTTGTTCTGAATCCCTATACCATCTTCAGCCTTAGTTTTGAAGGAAGTTTTATAGCAGAAAAAAATTTCTGCTCCAGATGAAACCACAGGACAGAACCCCACATACTAGCTATAAATTCTGTTCCTATGTTTGTGGAAATAGACAGTGCAGAGCTCCCTTTTTAAACTACATCCAGAGGAAGTCTTTTCAGCAGTTACCCAGCAGACAGGTTCCCAAAGAGGCCTTCATACCTTGAGACTCTCCGCAGCATGTCAAAGGGCAATAGTCATGTGTTCTTCTCTGATGTTCTCTTCTACTGCAACTCATCTATCTGTACTTGTCTTCCTATTAAATTTCAGCTTTCTTAACTTTTACTGCCTTTCTACTTTAACTCTTTTACTTGCTTCTCCTTGTTTTGTGTTCCCTTGCATCTCTCTCCCCTTTTTATTATCTAATCTTCTTTCTCCCTTTTTCCTTCATTTCCATTTTTTCCTTTCTTTTTTCCCCCCTAATTCATCCGTTAAAAAACAGTTTTAAAACTGGAGGAGATGGCTGTGTTGGAAAAAGCATACAACTAGGGACCATAATTCCTGCTAAAAAACACCTATGAGGATACAAAGGCTTGTGGTATCACTTTTGAGTTCAAGTAATACTGAATCAATACGTTATGTAGGCACATCACTCACTCACAAAAAGCACCTGGCACAAAGCCTCAATAAAGACATACAGAGCTCAGCAACAGCTGTTTCAGCCCAATAACTCCTTTCAGTCACCACAGGAGAAGTGGCAATACAGACATAGGCAGTTGAGAAAGATGCAGGCTATGTAAACAAATGGCAAACATATTTGAGACAAGCTATATGCAAGTAGTAAACTACAGAAGAAAAATTTGAAGTCTCAGTATATGCTAGTTTCAAAATTGGCAGAACAGATCTGGAAAGGTAATGCATAACTAGAACATTTCTATAGGAGGGCACAGTTTTTCCACAAAGGACAAAAGCACGATTATGTACTATGTATCAAGAATGTGTAAAATCCTGTGATCCAGACCATAGGCAGGCAGATTTGCTGGAAATCTCTGGATAACAGAAGACCATTAAAAATAGGAAGAAAAACTAGATAAGCTCTTTCTTTTTTTGAGAATAATGTCATGTCTGTGTAGAGCTTTTTTTATTTATTTTTAATAGGGGGGTAAGAATGTAAATAGAGATATCGCTGTTTGTCCTGTTATATTTCTAATTAGAGAGATGGCTTAGAAGTTTGAAAAGGCAAAGGTAGAAGATAATTTGGGCAACAGTATTCATGAAACACACAGTTCGTGATTCTTGTAACAGCAGAATGAAAGCAATGAATTTCAAGAATAGGATTCCTATTCCCTATCCTGGGAAATAGAATAAAGTGAAGGTTAGGAGATCTTTAATCATATTGTTAGTTTTTCCTGCAAGAACACTACGATTTCATAGAAACAAAATCAGAAAAAGACAAGGAATAAAGAGAAAGAGCTATAAAAGAAAATAAGGCAAATGTGTTTATACTTGCATTATTTGTACAAAACTGATCAGAAACAATTAATCCATGACACCACAAGGATGGAAATCTATTTTCTTGAAATACTTTTGTACTTCTGTGCATAGTTAAAAATGAGCTGTGATCAGATGGAAAACAATACCATTGGCAAAAAGGCTGTTATTTCTGTGAGATATTAGGTTATACAATAAAAGTTCATCTGTACAGCCACAAAGATGCTCAGGCAGACAATGGCAGGAGGGGAAGCCCAAATAATACGCTGTTGGGCTACTCCCAGGCCCACCACAGGAGCCACTGGCCCATCAAAGGCCAATCTGCACAAGCCCAGAGGAGCACAGGGGCATGAAAAGCAGGCAGGAACCCAAATCAAGGACTCCCAAGAACATCCATCAACTGTTGTTTTATGCTGGAGAAACTAAGCTGCATGTTAGTAAAAGAATATCAGTGATTAACAGATGTCCTTTGTTTGCTGAAAAGTTCCTTATTGACTACATTATCCTCCTAGTTACTTCACTGAAACAATAGGAAAAAAAAAGATAAAAAGCTGGAATTCCAACTTCCCTGTGCAATTACAGTCAGGTTTTTTTAGAAGCTAACAGTAATATGTATGTGTGTAAAAGTATGTGGAAGCTGGTAATAAGTACATGGATGATTTTCAACACAGCATGATACTAAATTTTACACAAATGTATTGCAACAAAAGGTAGTAAACTTACAGAATTAACCAAGCCAAGAATTAGGGCAAAGGGTAGACAGCAATTATTTCATAGCCTTGAACTCAAAAGCTGCCTTCGTCTAGTTAATGCAAAGTACAACTACAGAAGTATAAAATTTACCAGGTCAAGCGTTAAGCCATGAACAAGAGAAGATCAAAACAAGCGTACTATACTGTTCATTTACTTTATTGTAAGTACTTAAAATGTGGGCTCCAGATTTCTATTCTGCAGATATATTGTTAGCACAGTTGCATCACAGTTCATTGAACTGAAGGACTGAAACATATTAAATGATGCATCAGGTTAGTTTGGAGCTGTGCAAACCCTGAGGCCATCTGAAACAATCAAATGACTGCATTTTCATATTTTTCTGAGGTGTGGATTGTAAACCTGCTGCCTTCAGAAGTACCAATAAAATAAAATAAAAATAAAACCTCACAATCTCATCCTTAGGTGACTCACACAGAATCAAGGAATGAAGAGAATCGGTGACTTTTGAGAAAGAATGAAAAACTAAGCACTTTAGAACAGTTATTCTAAGGGTTACACACCTGAAAATACGACAGTTCTTTTGCACCATCAGATCAACACAGATTTAGCTTTAAAAAAAAAAAAAAAAAAAACAGGACTGAAAAAGCAAAATAGTACTAAGAAAAAGAGGACTGAAAGACTTCCAGTGGTAGTCTAATCTACCATTCTGCTTCAAGTCATGATTTACTACATCTGAATCATTCTCCTAACACATTACCTAAGACTGGTAATGATGGAGATTCCGAAAGATCTCAATTATTCTTGTTATGTGTTTATTCACAACAGATGAACAACAATGGGTCTAAACAACAGTGGATCTAAATGATTCTAGACTGCATAGAAATATAAAGGAAAAAAAATATATTATCTTCTTCCAAATGACCTTTGTGCACTTGAAGGCTGTGGTCTCCTCTGTAAGCTACTCAAAATCCTTAGTTTACTCCTAAAATCCATGGGTGTTTTGCAAAAGGATGACAGGTAACCAATTTCATTATTTGTAACATCGTCACTGAGACTTACGTATCTTCAGCAGTTTCACAACAGTTAAGTAACATTTATTTATGAAATTGGATGAGAAACACCTGCAGCCCTTTAAAAAAATTCAATGTATGCCATTGATTAATAAAGCCCTTAATAATCCAGTATTTTTTATTTCCTCCAACAGCTTCACCTCTGAATGATCTTAAGTTGTAACACTGCACCATACAAGGTAGCAAGGGTGGACGTTTCAGATGAGGAAAGAATGGAAAAATTATCCTGTATGGGAAAATTAAATGCATCCAGAAACTGGTGCCAAGGAGTGAAGCTTGGTGGCTTAGCTTACATCCTGGATTTTAAGCATAAGCTATAAATACCCATATACACACAAAAAACATTCTGTCTGTTAACTACTATAAGTAAAAACCTGGATTTAAAGGATATAGTTGTATGCACATTCACTAGCAGTGCTCTGTACCATAATAAATACTTGACCAAAAGCATCACATATTTACCTGAAGTTTGGAAAACTTCATTCAGTAAAGCTTCATTTACCACCACCGAACTGACGTTTCCAACAGGATGACACCAGCTCTGATAAATAGTTTGAAGCAGAAGGGTTTGAGCTCTAGTTGCTTGAACTGTCAAATTAGGAAGCTCAAATATGCACTCTGTTAGTGGGACATGAGCTCGCTTGGTCCTGTTTAAAATATTGAGAGAAGAAAAGAAAAAAAGGGAAAATCATAAATTTGGTGCATAAAAATAACAATTTAAAACCTTAGTCACAGAACACCAGACTACACGCTGTTATTTTGCAAGGTTGAAGCTGTGTGCCCATTAAATTTTTTCTTGTAAGAGCTGATTCTACTTACACTGAACTTCACCCTAAATAGGATTTTTTTCATGATTTAACTCTACACCTCCCTCCAAAACATGAGAGGAAAAATCATATATTTTTATCTAATTATCTCTTGGTTTTAAAATATTTAATAAAAGCAATTTGCAGTACTCCCACCAAAATAGAAGCTACTCTTAAAATTGTGCAGCTATTAAAAACACAAAAGAAATTTGCTCAAAAACCGAATTTTCTGAAAAAAAAATTATTTAAAAGCTTACAGTGCATCACTAAATGAGATATGTCCAGTGATCAAAAAAACCCATACAGACAATACCCATACAACAAAATACAAAGAAAATGGGTTTTCCACAGGAAAATGTTTGCAGCCCTATGACCTAACATACGTGAGATCATACTAGCAGTAGACACTCTGCAGGAGGCTCCACGAATTCAGAAACAGGCCATTCATGATGCTCAAACTCTAAAATCTGTAAGAGCATGAAGTGACACAGAATTCTGGCAGTAAGTAGTAGACTTCCTTGAACATTCTGCACCTGATTGGGAGACTGACTCTTCATCAAGAAAACTGAAGAAAACAAGCACATCATCACTTCTCAGACCCACGATCACTATCATCTAGATGGGTATCTAGACAACTTCTACCACACAACACACACGAAAGGACACATGAAGATCACTCTCTTCTGGACACAATTAGATAAAACATATCTCCCATTTCAGCTCCTCAGACATGTACATATAGCTATATAGTCACTAGAAGAAAAGCTCTGGGTTCCATGAAAAGCACAGGTGGAGACTGCAACACTGTGGCCTTTTTTAATGCTGTTCCCCAGTTAGAATTTGAACTTGCTTTCCTAGAATTTCCTAGAGAGTAAATCCAAGCTCTGTAATTTGTCAATTAAGCAGAAAAGGTGTGTATATATATAAGATGATTCTGTACTTAGGAAAATCCACGCTTGTAAAACAAAATGCTACATACACAATAAATAAAAAAATATTTTAAAAATCAAGATTAAACAGGCAGCAGAAACCATTTACTTTTATGTAGAATTGAAGTTGGAAAACCAGACATGCACATTACCAAAGCTTTTGCAGGTATTACATGGAAAGAAGTGTAATGCATGGTGATATCAGTCAGAACACTTCCCAGTATTCCTTTTTTCCAAGTCATGTACTGTGATCTTTTATTATCTCATTGAAGAAGTGCACTGTAACAGTCTTCCTTTCTGTCCTTTTCCTTTCTGTTCTTTTTCTTTTTGTTATCCTTTCAGGTAACTTGTATTTTCTACTTTTCCCTCTTATTTCTGAATACTTTTTTTGCAGGATCAAAGTTAAATATTTCCCAAAAAAGTATCTGAATATTTCAAAAGTGTAAAATTGGGAAAGAAGAAGGTAGAAAACCTTTTTCAGAAAAATTCATTATGAACATGACTCTGCAATAATTCCATCTTAAATAACACATTTGTATGAACAAATTCATGTACTTAAGGAGGAGGTCTGTGAAGAGCTGTGACAATCACAGCATGCAATGTGACAGTGGAAAATACTTTGCTTTAAATGTTTGCCTATTCATTTAATACATATTACAGCTACTGTACTGAACTGTTCTAAATTTAAAACTTAAAATTTTCACATATAATAGTCCCTTATGGATAATAACAGTGTATGATTTTTTTTTTAACAATATGCAAATTCTACGCTTAGTGTACTTTAGCAATCCCACAGGAATAAAGTCTACTGGTCCTTTTCAGATAACAGGAATGGGAAGTTGAAGAAAATAAATCCTTTTTTATAGAGGAAAAAAAAAAAGGCGGAGGGGAAGTATTGTACCATGTGTGCAGCAAATGTTGCTTAAAGGAAATTTTAACTAGACCTGGCTAGTGATGAAAGTACATTTATAATTCAGGATTTATTATAATAGTTTTGAAACACAAATAATGCATTTAAAGGAACTTAAAATACAAGTTTGCTACCAAAATGCACCTGTTAATACAGAAAATCCATCATTAATAAGGTACTGAGCTATATTTAACCAAGTTTTATGACCCAAGAGATACATTCAAGCAACAAGTGAAAATACAAGTACAAATAAGTTTTTCAGTAAACCAAGTCAGATCTGTATTTCTATATTATATCATTAAATTTGCATTAAGCAACTGAATGTGACTTCATATCAAAACTCATCACCATATTAAAACAGTTATGGCACATAGTTGGAGTCTAAAACCATTATTTAAACTGCACTTTAAAACTCTAACAACAATAGAAATTATTATTTCTCAAATCTTTACACTCAAGAGTTAAGATGCAATTCTGAACATATGTTCATTTAACTGAACAGGTTAAAAAACTACTAATTCAAACACACTTCTCTAGGGGAAAATAAATCCTAATGTAACTAGCAGGATAGGCTACTCATTAAAGCTGAACTTGGACAAGTTCCAGAATAAATTTAAGGAAATATGAACAAGCAAGTCTCGCTGTGTAGTGGCATGGACTGAAAATGAATCTGTTCTAATTAAATGATTTTTAAATACACTTTGGTTGTACCCAGTTTGCTGACAAACTGTAATACAGACTTGCTGAAATATTTGGATAAATCTGGCATACCATTAAAGAAAATAGTTTTCTTCTCTGTTTTTGAATGAAAACATGAATTGGTCCTTATTATACACCACGCACAGGCACCAATATAACCAACCCATGTAAGTTCACAGGCCTGCTATGAAATATTTTCAGTTTGTAGACCTTGGGAACAGCAACTCATTCTTTTAAAATCAACACCTCAGAGTGATTGAAAGAATGTAGTGGTGAACAGCTGGCTCCAAAGGTTTATATAGAGTCCCCAACTGCAAAGCTGGAACCTGCAAAATGTTTCCAAAAATTTAATTTTTGTTATTACTCATATCCTGTACAGTAAAATATGGTTAGTTCATTTTTTCCAAAATAACAAAGCCAGTAACCTGCTACTAGAACCCAGCAACTGTGCCTTAGAAGAACCTGAATGTAATTTAAATGTCTAAATAATTTCAGCCAGCATTTGCACACCCTTCCTTTTACGCAAACATAACATCTATGCTGGTTTTATATTTGACATGAACAAAGTCTTCATCTACATAACTAGAAAAATAATCCATACTTCTACTTAATCTGATCTTTCACATCAGCTTTACGAAAATGACGATTTTGGTCCTTTTTCTTAACATTAAGCAACTACTATTGGGTAAGGGAAACAATGTCTAACTACTTAATGACAAGTATCAAAACTCTGAAGGGAGTGCACAGGGAATGGAAAAAAAGGAAACAAGTTAACCGCTACAGTCTTCAAATTATTTTTTTTTAAATGCAAGACTGAAGTCAACTACTACTCACAACAAAAAAAACAGTCATATCACACATCTGCATAGGCCTACAGAATTTTTAGTCTTCAGACAGCAACATACAGTTATTTGTGCTAGAGGACCAAGTTAATTATTATCAAAAAAATAATAATTAAACCCAATTTGGAAGATTTCATTCCAAAAATGAATGCTCTTCTATAGGCTTCACTAAAGGCTGCCTGGCATCTTATATCATCTCTTAAACAGGTGAATTTTCAGCAGCTGCAGCTACCTTTGCCTCTTATTTGTAGGAAACACTTCTAACCATACAACTTACAAAAAGGGAGAAAACAATGAACCTCAAGATTCACCAACTTTTTTTTCCTTTTTTGGTTTAATAAAGAAATTAACTTTTTCTTTCTGAAAATTTTAGATACAACACAATCATTTCAAAAGTGACTTCTGTATAGGATATTTTAAACATCAGTTATGGAATTGAAGTCATCAGTGATGAAAAATGTTTGTAAAGCGTTAATTCATATGTGAACTTCAGAAAAAATACGGATTTCCTGAAAACAATTGTGAAAACAAAACAATGCAGGCTAAGTACAAGCTTCAATACATCTTAGAAAATAAACAGAATATCCATTTTCAATTCTTAGTACAGTGTATGTTTTAACGGAACAATAAAATTTAGCTTATACAGCAAAGCAAAAATAAGTGCATTATCACAAGAACAAAAATAACTACTAAAATCCAAGAAACATCTAAAAGGAAGAAACCTTGCAAAAAACTCCCTTTTCTTCAAAGAATGCAAGACTCTGGACATACATGTTAGGAGCTCTATATTTGTATTGTTTTTAAAATCATTTAGCTTGTTTGTTACATCTGGACATTAAAAATTATGATGATTAGATTAAAAACTATGATCATTACATGCAAATAATAGTACTGGTTTTTGAAGCCATAAGGAAGTGAGCAGCAGTGACCTCAGTAGGATGGTTATTTTAACTTTATCTGCTGTGAGACACCAAGAGAAAATATCAAAGGCTGCAAGAAAAAACAAAGACCTGGAATGTGAGTGTAGGAAAGTCTTAATTTCCCTCAGATTGAATCTGATAAGCATCATATGAGTCTTTCCACCCACTGGATTGAAAGGTTAAGAAGGAAAAGAAGAAAGCAGCCTATCTCTACTTCCAGTTAAGTCCTTACCTATGCGCCTCAAAATGCAGCAGATTTGAACTAAAAATTTGTTGATACCAAGAAGGGATACCCCAACAAGGGGTTGGGTTTTCAGTCTTACTTTTGGACGCATGATAAACTAAAGCAGCTGCTGAAACTATAATGCAGGAACACGTCAAACCTGCAGCTGCATTAGAGAAACATACTTAGGAAGTTTAACTCAAAATCAGCTTAGTGGGTTTGGAAAAGCTCATCAATGGGACAGATGCTAGGGATCTGAGTTCTGAGAAGGATTTGGGGGTCCTGATAGATAGTAAATTGTCAATGAGCCAGCAATGT